CATTAGTCAACTACGCATTGTTTAACCTGAAGAGGATCGCAATTCGCGATCGAAACGTCGTTGTGACCAATATAATAAATGCCAGATAAGTCACTAAATTAAGTTTATTTGATTTTCAATACACTGGCAAAGAAAATTCCAATCTTATTTGAAAGACACACCATGACTGAAAATAAGGTGTCAGAACACCAAGAAGGATTCTTCAAAGCAACTACACTGACATACGGATATAGAAGTACGATGACACTAAAGGCTTGGTTAAAGATCAACATCATGATAGCCACAGCCCACCAACAGCTCACGTTTCTACTACGAAGCAGACACTTCGACATCTTACCAACACACATCTATAAATTACGGTTTGACATTAAATTCGTTAGTAAAAATGTTAATTATAAATATAACAATTACAAAAAACGTTATCAAAAGACACTTCTCAACTTCGAAATTAGAGACATTAATTGCAAATTGCACCACTTACAGAATAGGATCAAAGAGATAGAAAAGTCACTTTTTTTACAATTACCGGAGACTTTGGTCAATGATTTTTTCAAATTTAATCGTGATAAGGTTATTAATCATAACAACAAAACAAAAACCGCCCTAATAAATAAATTCAACCGCATTTTACACAAAGACAATCCACTTATAAATAATGATAAGTCAAAATGGATCGTAAACACCAGCAAGAAACAGATACCAGAAGATATTCTCATGTGTTTAAGCTTAGGTGATAGATTTGGCCTACCGATAGACTCCAACGATAAGACTGACCGTTTAGACTCCGTCTTACAGGTGATTAAAAATTTCGAACTTAACATCACTAAGATCTCTATTGACGCGGCTAATGACACTCGAGGTTCCCTTGTTAACATCCTTCTCAACTTTCTATCTAAGAATAAACATATCAGTCACATCGAAAAATTCATTACTGACTCCTTTCGAAAATGCAAAAAATACTTAAAAAATAACAATGATTTATTAATAACCAACGCAGATAAGGGACAAGTGACAGTCGTGATGGACAAAAATACGTATATTCAAAAAATGACAAACTTACTTAACGATAATAACACTTACAAAAAACTGAAAAGCGACCCTATCAATCGCATAAAAACCAGAGTTAACGATCTCATCAAATCATGGTGGGACAAAAAAATTATAGACGAATATACATACAAACAATTACGTTGCACCAACGGCAACCTCCCTAGATGTTACGGATTACCAAAAGTGCATAAGACCGACTTTCCGTTACGTATTATTGTTTCTACAGTAGGCAGCCCAACGTACAAAATTGCCAAATTTCTCGGTGACATCTTACAAAAATCCATCCAGAGACCTAGTTCGCACATCAAAGATAGCTGGTCCTTTGTCAAAAAAATAAACAGATTAAAAATCCGTCCAGACCAGTCACTTGTGTCCTTAGATGCAACATCTCTTTTCACAAATATTCCGAAGGAGTTAGTCCTCAGAGCGATTGAACATAGATGGGATATGATTTCCAAAAACACTAAATTGAATCTACAACAATTTTCACATGCCATAGATTTAATTTTGACCTCCACCAGCTTCTGTTTCAACGCACAATTTTACGACCAAGTTTTTGGAACTCCTATGGGCTCCCCCCTATCTCCCATACTAGCTGATATGGTGTTAGATGACCTCGAGACCCATTGTTTGCAACTATTGGATAACCCGTTGACGGCATTCTTCAGATACGTTGACGACATCTTTACTATTGTCCCCACTTCAAAGATCAATGAAATATTAAATTTATTCAACAACTATCATCAGAGGTTGAAATTCACCTGTGAAATAGAGACAAACGGATCATTGAGTTTCCTTGACACAATGGTCATTAGGAACGACGACGCGTTGATAACAAATTGGTACAGAAAACCGACGTTTTCGGGGCGCTACGTCAATTTTCTTTCCAATCACCCATTTAACTACAAAGCAAACATTGTAACTAATTTAGTCGACCGTGCCATTCTGTTATCCAATGAGCGGTTTCATAATGCGAACATATGCATAGTTAAATCTATTCTTACTAACAACTGTTATCCGACACACATAATCAATAAACTAGTTAATAAGAGACTAAAACAATTAAAACACAGGAATAGTACACACGATATCAACAACAATAATGTAACAAATAATTTCT